CTATAGGCCTTCCTCAACAGTTCTTGAGCTTTAGTGGCAACAACTGTGTGTTATACAGTGATACCCTTGTTCTTAGTTCTGGTTTCATACTAGATTCAATTAGTCTGAAGTGGGACCTGAGTCTTAATAGCTAAGGAGAAAAAAAAAAAAGAAACTAGTGATTTTGGTTTACATGAGGGTTAGAAACTTGACATGACTAGTGGAAGACAAAACAGGATCCTGAAGGGACTGCACGTAAAATTAATTCTCAAGTCAGGGAGGGTAGCATAGGAAAAATGTGGTTCTTGAGCTGCAACTAAAAAAAAGCAGGCTTCCTAGCAGAAAGCAGGTTTGAGGGGTGAAGGATTTGGGGGAGGGGACCTAGAATAACACTAGTTCCCCCCAAATCTTTCTTTCTAATCATTTTGTTTTTCTTACCATCAAATACCCGATCCTACTCTTTGAAAAAGATTTATTGCTCTTGAACGGCTTCTGAGCACCGCTGACTGGGTTACACAAGGCATGTGTCCAAGGCCTTGTGCTACCATACCCTTGCCCTATAACATAGTAGAGAGCAGGCGTAGGGAGAGATTTCTGCGAATAGTTATCAGACAGGGGCTTCCCCTGCTCCCAATGCAAAGGGTGCAGATTCGATCCCTGATAAAGGAACTAGGATCCCACATTCGTGTGGCAATAAAAACAACAAAGTTCTGTTAAGCAATTATCCTTCAATTAAAAAATAAATTTAAAAATAATAATCATAGATCACCCATTAAAAAAAAATGGTTATCAGACAAACAGCAGCCTCTTTGAAGAGGCTTAGCTCCTGCTTGTGAAAATGATTGCCATTAAATACTTTCTCCTTTGGCACTTAACATACGTCTACTCAGATACCTAGCTTTTTCTTCCTTCTGGACCTTCTTTTTCATCTGCTAAAATTGTAAGCCCACTGCATAGGTGATTGACCCCAAAGTCCAGAGGAAGAGTGGGAACATCTCTTTTTGTGTCTCTGTTTTAGGAATGAGAAAACGTTCTACTTCTTTCCTTGTCTTGGTAACCGAGATTGGCTCGTGTCCATTTTAGACCAGTGACTGGTAAAGGGCATGGGATTCCTGTAGGTGGATCAGTCTGTTCCTGTGGAGAAGAGTCAGCATTGGAGAGTCAAGCTCCAAGAGCACTCCACTCTGCTTCTGCCTCTTACAGCACTTCTCACACAATTTTGTAGTATTCTCTTCACTTGTCTGTTTTCCCTAATAGGTCTAGACCTTGTCTTACTGATCTTTTTCTCTTCATATCCTCCTAGAGTTTACAATCTGGTTAGAAATATAATACCCACCCACGCATGAACCATACGCACACGTAGACACTTTAAGTAGATATATAGTGGCACAGTTTTGTTCTTCAACTTGGGTACCCTAAAGGAATCAGCATTATAGCAAAGATTATTGGAAATGCATTTCCACCTGCTAGATTGGCAGTAGCTTTTCCAGTCTCTTCAGCTCCCCTGAAATTCCAATACAGCTAGAGGTGCCTCCAGCTGTATCTTCTGCTAGCTGCATAGTCACGTGATGGTTGGTGAATCGCTGTAGATGCAGTAATGTTGATGAGGATTTTCATAAATTCAAAGAACTTCTGAGTAAGTCTTATTGACTATTGTCTGTTTCCTTGAAGGTGCCTGGAGCTGCAATAAAGCGGGCATGTGAAGGTCTCCTGTGGTGCTCTTCCTTGTTCTGGTTGGGAAGTGCATTTCTGGCATTTGAACAGCTTTTCTCGGGGCTCCTGTGGCAGGCTATCTCATTGCCATCAGGGACTTAGATTTCTTTTGTCCTACCGCTCTGCCATCTTCAACATATGCTTCTTTCTATCTTGTGGTGTGCTGGTAAACTAATCCTCAGGAGTGCAGTGGGGCATGGGAGTAGAAAGTCTTGATTTGTAATGTTTGCCTGATTCCCATGTTGAAAATATTCCCACTATGGCCAATTTCAAGCTACCAGTGATTTAATCACTAGTTTGTAGAATTCTTGAATTTTAACAGTCTGCTCTCCTGAGCCTGTGAGCCAGCTCTAGCTGGTTCTTCCTCATGGTCCAAAATGGTTGCCTGATCTACAGCCATTAGAACTGCATTTGAACTAGTAGGGAAGAAGAAATCAAAAGGAAGAGCAAACTCCTTTCCCTTTAAGATATCTCCCAGAAGTTGTACACAGCCCTTCCACTTAAATCCCCTTGGACAGAACTTAATCACATGACCATGTCTACCTGGGATATATATTGTTCTGAATTTCCACGTGCTCAGCTAAAATTTGGGGTTTTGTTACTAAGAAGAAGAAGGGAATAAATGTGGGGGAAAATTAGCCGTATCTATCACTCATCGTGACACCCATTTCCACATACATGACTGAGTTCCATGTTAAAAAGAAGTTCATTTTCAGAAGAAGAACTGAGTGGATGATAAATAGGTAGTTCCAGATAGAGAGGGAATAGCTGCTTATTTTTATATTTTAGGCTGACTAGTGATAATACTCCTCTCTCTTCTGAGTTGGAACTAGTTGAGGGACAGATACATAAGGCAGATGGAGCTAAAGTGTCATCTTTATTACTGATTAAACTGTTTGATGAACAACAACCCTGCAGTAGCAAAGCGTTCACTCACTTCACCCCCAAAATAAACTTACCCACCTAGTCCAAACAGGACTGTCCAACTCTGCCCTGGGCACCTGCCCTTGAATGCTTCCTACAGGAGGTTCCGCCCACCCACCCCCCACACACAAAAAAAGGAGAACAAGAGCCTACACTAAGCATGTACTTTCTTCTCCCAAATTAACCAAACAGATAACTGAGATTGATTGAGGGCTTGGGAGAGAAGCCATGATATGTCCATCCATTACTAAATCATGAGGAATACTTTTTGTGACCTTTCAAACCTGTTGAGGTTTAGCCAGTCATCCCACAGTTGGGTCACATGAAATCTCTCTGAATCCTTACAGCTATCTCTGTTTATTTAAATGAACACAGATGGTTTCTCTTAAAACAAAACTGTCTGTAACTGAGAAGTGTTGTTAAAAGCTATCTTGTGTGGGTCAGACACTGAATGCTGTAGAATTTTACAAGAAAGACTGTGAGAGCGGATTGGAGGCACGAAGGGTTTTTCAGGGAGGTGATAAAACTTGAACTTGTTCTTAAAGTCTGGGCAGGATTTTGCTAGGTTGAGGGGATGGAAGTGTTTCAGTCATGGGGAATTTCATGGGAGAAATGAGCATAGCGGAATAGATATAGTTTTGTCAAGTCACTGGTGGTGATGGTGGGAGACATATTACTCAGCCATTAAAAAGAATGAGATGATGCCCTTTGCAGCAATGTGGCTGGACCTAGAGATGATCATACTAAGTGAAATAAGTTCAGACAGAGCAAGACAAATATCATCTGATAATGACTTATGTGTGGGACTAAAAAGTGAATCAAATGAACTTATTTACAAAACAGAAATAGACTCAGAGACATAGAAAACTATGGTTACCAAAGGCAATAGCAGTTGGTAGGGGGAAAAGGAGATAAATTAGGAGTTTGGGATTAACATATACTCACTACTGTATATAAAATAAGTAACCAACAAGGACCTACTCTATAGCACAGGGAACTATACTCAATATCTTGTAACAGCCTATAATGGAAAAGAATCTCAAATAGAATGTGTGAAATAGAATAAACCGTGAATCTGTTTGCTATACACTTGTGATTAACCCAATATTGTAAATTAAGTATACTTCAATTAAAAAAAAAAAAGACATGGGTGGTGGTGGGAACCGTAAAGACTCTAGCTGTGGTAACTTTTGGAGACCAGTGAGAAACCAGGTTAGAAAAAGAGCTTGGGAAGACTCTAACAGAGAAGTAGCTGATGGAGATAGAAGTTTGCAGCTGTTGAAGAAGAACTAAATATAATGTTTTTCCCAGATTATTCTGGAGGAAAAATTGCTCTTTGAATTTTTTAGTTGCATAGACCAACAGATTTCCTTTTTTTTGTTTCTTTAATCCATTTAAAATAAATAGTCCTGGCTAATACATTCCACTTACAGAATAAAGGGAACTGACTCTCAAATTTTTGTGTGCCTGGAAGACTTGTTAACATACAGATTGCTGATGGCACTTACCCCCACACTTTCTGATGCAGTAGTTTGGGGAAGGGCTCAGAACTTTCATTTTTATAAGGTCCCTGGTGATGCTGCTGCTGGTGGTCCTGGCAGGACCACAGCTGGATGCTGTGGTGGGTCACACTCTGGGAATCACTGGATGAATGAATGAATGAATGAATGAATGAGACTGAATTCCCTAAGTCATAAAATGAGAGCTTAGATGAGATCATCTCTGAAGTCTTTTTGAGTCTGTGCTTCTTCTAAGTGAGAGGATAACCCATTTATATGTTTTCCCATATAGTAAAAATTTCAGTGTTTACTGAGGTTGCTTCTATCCCCTGCTTGTGAACTAATCTTACATTTTACATGTGGGCTTCCCCGGTGGCTTAGACGGTAAAGCATCTGCCTGCAATATGGGAGACCCGGGTTCAATCCCTGGGTTGGGAAGATCCCCTGGAGAAGGAAATGGCAACCCACTCCAGTACTCTTGCCTGGAAAATTCCATGGCCAGAGGTGCCTGGTAGGCTACAGTCCATTGAGTCACAAAGAGTCAAGCACGACTGAGCGACTTCACTTCACTTCGTGTCATTACATAGGTGGGAACCTGAAGGCTTGTGATTGGACTACAGATGCTTTCTCAAGAGAAAAGACCCTCTGAACATGGTCTTCCCACATTTTCATGGCTTCCCACTTTTCTTTCAAGAAAACAAAAAAGGAAAAAAAGGTAGTAGCTACTTCAAATAGCGTCCACACCACTTTCACAGATAAAAAGAGAAAGGGTGAGACTTTTCCTTTAAAGGAAAAGTGCATTTGACCCAGTACTTGAAGCTTTGAAGAGCATTTACTCAAACTGTTAAAAACATTCAACCTCAAGAAAATATTTACCTGATTCATAATTGTCCAAACCTGCCAGCTGGATGTCTGGCCCCAGGGGTTCGAGGCTTCCTGGGTCAAACACAGAACCACGGTGGGCTGATCCCGCCACCGGTGGAGGGACCATTGTCAACATTTGCAGCAGAAGCAGCAGCAAGGCTCTCCCTGCTCCGCGTGGCCTGCATGCTGCTGGGTGGGTGAAGGTGGCCGACGACAGCTGTGGGCAGCCAGATGGCAAGCCCCACCGAGACTGGGGGATTTCCAGAGTCCTACCCTGAGTGATCTTTACATACGGCCCCACGTCAGGGAGAGGAGGCAGAGAGCTGATGTGTCCAACACGGCTGGATGACAGGAACACGAAGCTGTCAGGAGCAGAGGCAAGATTCTGATGGACCAGCAGGATGATGATTTTTTTTTTTTTCTAGTAAGATGGGTTTTGTGGTTCCAGCAAATGAGGAAGTGGTTACCCTTTTTGCTGAGAACTCTCCCACATGATTTCAGCTGTGGGTGAATTCTCCTGTGATCAGGAATTCTTCCATGATAAGTTAGCAACTGTGGAAAATCTAAAGCCCTCGAGTCACTGTCCTGAGCCCGGAGAACCTGATCTTTGACTCAGGTTTTTTTTCAGCAAATGGAAACGTGAGGGCGGAGTGGAAGGCAGCCGAGGCTACCCACTTGGTCCTTCTAACTCAGGCAGGACTTGGCAACGCTGACCTCACCACTGGATAGGAGTTTATTTTCTATTTTTTATTTAGTTATTTTGAATAGGCTTTTAAACGATCTTTGCACTGTGACTTCCTATTTGGAAGCTAGGCTGACTGATTTTATACCTAGCTGGCTTTACAGCCAGTTCACAATCCATTCTCTCTTCCTCTTAGTCTTGACTCTCTTAATGTTCTGTCTGATGTTCCATCTCCATCCATTATATTGTGAATTGCTTTTCGACTAGGCTGTGTGTTACTATTCCTTATATTCTGTACAGTGAATGTCCCTCACTAATATTCTCAGTCCACAGCTATGTTCTAAATCTGATCTCTTGCTTTTGAAAACATAGTATAATTCAAAGCTTTGATTCCTACTTGTTCCCTTAGCTCCTGGAGAAAAGTCGTCCTGGAAGCTCCTTTATTGTTCAGTCGCTCAGTCATGTCTGACTCTGTGACCCCAGGGACTGCAGCACACCAGCCTTCCCTGTCCTTCTGTCCCCCAGAGTTTGCTCAACCTCACGTCTCATCCTGTCGTCTGCTTCTCCTCCTGCCGTCTGCTTCTCCTCCTGCCCTCAGTCTTTCCCAGCATCAGGGTCTTTTCCAGTGAGTTGGCTGTTTGCCAACTTTGGCAGGTGGCCAAAGTATTGGAGCTTCAGTTTCAGCTTCAGTCCTTCCAATGAATATTCAAGACTGATTTCCTTTAGGATTGACTGGTTTGATCTCCTTGTTGTCCAAGGGACTCTCAAGAGTCTTCTCTAGCACCACAGTTCAAAAGCATCAATTCTTCTATGCTTAGCCTTCTTTATGGTCCAACTCTCACATCCATAAATGACCACTGGAAAAACCATACCTTTGACTATATGGACCTTTGTTGGAAAAGTGATATCTCTGCCTTTTAATGTTCTGTCTAGATTTGTCATAGCTTTTCTTCCAAGGAAGAAGCGTGTTTTAATTTCACGGCTGCATTTATGCAGTCTGCAGTGATTTTGAAGCCCAAGAAAATAAAGTCTGTCACTGTTTCCATTGTTTCCCCATCTATTTGCCATGAAGTGATGGGATCAGATGCAACGATCTTAGTTTTTTGAATGTTGAGTTTTAAGCCAGCTTTTTCACTCGCCCTTGCACCTTCATCAAGAGGATCTTTAGTTCCTCTTTGCTTTCTGCCATAAGGGTGGTGTCACCTAGGGAAACTCCTGCTGCTGCTAAGTCACTTCAGTCCTGTCCAATTTTCTGCGACCCCATAGACAGCAGCCCACCAGGCTCCCCCGTCCTTGGGATTCTCCAGGCAAGAACAGTAGAGTGGGTTGCCATTTCCTCCTCCAAAGCAAGAAAGTGAAAAGTGAAAGTGAAGTCACCCTGTCGTTTCCGACTCTTTGCAACCCCATGGACTGCAGCCTACCAGGCTCCTCCATTCATGGGATTTTCCAGGCAAGAGTCCTGGAGTGGGTTGTCATTGCCTTCTCCGAAGGGAAGCTCCTAGTAGAGGTTAATTTTAGTGCCAAGGAATTCAGATGTTTTCTTTAGAGGTTGTTAGGGAAAGAATTGAGAGCAAAACAGGGCCATGAGCATGGAGGAGGGTGGAGATGAAGGGTTTATCTTGGGTTACCTGAGATATACTCTGCCTACTTTCTAATTTCACAAAAGGTTGAAGCCTTCTAATGAGTTAGTCCGATGAAAACCCCATTGTAAAGTGGAGCCTGAATTCGACTCCTTAAAGCTGGAAGAGAGGCAATTGGTATTACATCCATCAATCATAGATTAAAACTTCATCTGAAATGGATTTAAAATCTTTAGATGCCAAAGTGGTGGCAGCCTTGAAGCTCTTTGAGTGTTGCTGTGTTGCCAGAAACCAGGCTAAGCTTTGATGCTTTGGAGACCCCCAAGTTGCAGTATATTAAATCCTATGTGCATGTGTGTGTGCATGCTTTGTCGTTCGGACGTGTCTGACTCTGTGACCCCAGGGACCATAGCCCGCCAGGCTTCTCTGTCCATGGGATTATTCAGGCAAAACTATTGGAGTGGATTGCCATTTCCTCTTCCAGGTGATCTTCCTGACCCGGGGATTGGACTCAAGTCTCCTGCATCTCCTGCACTGACAGGTGCATTCTATATTGAGCCACCTTGGAAGCCCCATATTGAATCCTTAAGAAATGTTAGAAGATTCCTAGACTTTTCTGAGAGAGATCAAGTCCTTTCTGCCCCTTTTCTCCTGGAAGCTGGGCTGGCTGGATATTAATTAGGTCTTGATTTGACATTCTCATAACTACTGGCAGCTTCATGAACAATCTTGTCCCCTAGCAAGGCTTGAGGGATACCAGTTTGTGAAAAGTATTCATATTCTTTTAAGAAAAGTTAGTGCTGCTTCTGCCAGTTTCCATGGCTGCATCTCTGTGCATCTGGATATAGGGAATCGTTTGCTTTTTTTAAACTACTTTTGTTTGTTTGTTGTGACTGTGATGGGGCGATGTTGCTGGGAGGGCTTTTCTGTCTTTGCAGTGAGCGGGGGCTTCTCACTGCAGAGGCTTCTTTAGTCGGGGACTGCAGGCTCTAGGGCACGCGGGCTCAGGAGTTGTGGCGCGTGGGCATAGTTGCCCCTCAACACGTGGAATCTTCTTGGATCAGAGATCGAACACTTGTCTCCTGCACTGGCAGGCGGATTCTTTACCGAGTCACCGGGGAAGCCTGAACATCGTTTGCCTTTAATTGTATCATTTCGGGGTCTGACCAGAACGAGCTTTGTTTTCTGTACTTAAGGTTTTTATACATGTCGCAGTGTCTACTGACGGAGATGCATCCTTTAGAAGAGAACACTGCTGAACAAGCCTGCAATGGAAATAAAAGAGGTGGGAAGATGGGTAGAATGCAAACAAATTAACCAGTCACTGAGAAGCCTGGGATTCATGTTTAAAATGCTTAGAGTATGTCACATATAGGCGAGCATGCAGCATGCCCCATTGTTCTGCTGTTCTGTGCGTGTTTCGCTTCATTATCCATCTGGACGGTGCCCTTGCACCACCTGCTCTCCCGGCTTTCTCAGTACTCACCTGGGTGACACACCTTTCCTGTGTTGCCTGCCTTCCCCGTTTTTCCACAGAGTGGAGCTGTAACTGCACCGAGATGAGGCCAGCAAAATTCCAGAGATCAAATGATAATGAGAACGACCACAAGTGTCTGTTTATCAATTGACAGGCGAGGGGAAATAACTCATCAGATTTCGTTTGAAGATCTCAGGCTGTGGAAATCAGGCTTTTAGATCTTAATCCAGTGAGAATGAAAGATGAACCACCTCTCATGTCTGCTCATGACAAGTCATTTCTTTACTCTGGCTACGAATCTCATCCTCAGTGGTCTTAAATATTCCTTTCAAAGAGATAAGTTGTTTGTTTTTCAGATGACGGCACCTCACAGGTGTGCTCAGCCTGGCAGGACGATAGCATCTGGTATGTGGAAAAGAATCCTTTCTTGTGTGTGCTATTCAGTAAGTTGGCAAATATTTATTGATGCACAGTTTGTGCCAAGAGATGTTCTTAGTGTTCCCGAGGGTACAGCAGAGAACTGAACAGGTGAGTCTCTGGCTTTAAGGAACTTCCACTTGAGTGGAAGGAGACAGTTAATAAAAGTTTAACCGTGCAAGAAATAAAATAGGGTCACATGTTACAGATTGGCCTAGACTGATCAGAAAAGATCTCTGAGGAGAGACTTCTGAACTGAGGTCTGAATGTTGGGAAGAAACCTGCCAACTGACAATTCTCAGGGAGCAGGGGCCGAGCTCAGCGTGTGGATAGAAACAAGGTCCCTGCGTCGGGATGTGATGAGGAAGGGAGAAGGCAGGATGAGGTGGGAGAGGGAGGCAGGGGCTGGGTACCCATGGCTTTAGAGGCCATGATGAACAGTTGGGAGTTTCTTCATGATGCCATTCAAAGCCATTGAGTGGTGGAGGAACGGGATGTGGGGTGATTTAATTGGAATAAATAATGTGGCTGCTGTGGAGAGGATGGACAAACAGGACAAGTGTGGTGGTGATGGAGACCTGTTCATGGGCTTACACTAGGAGGGTAGCAGACGGGGAAGGAAGAGGCCAGGTTAGAGATACTTACGTATTGTGGTCAGAGCTATCAGACTGTAGATGGACTGGCTGTAGGGTATAAGAGAGAAGAATCAGGGAAATGGCAGCCCGCTCCAGTATTCTTGCCTGGAGAATCCCATGGACAGAGGAGCCTGGCAGGCTATCGTCCCTGGGGCCACAAAGGGACTAACCAGCACCACCAGGACGTTTTCACCCGAGCAGCTAGTGAGTGGTGGCGCTATTGCTTAAAG